ATAATATTTTGAAAAGGCATGCCTGGATGACATTAAATTAGGATTTAATGGATTTGATAGCAGGGCCTGCTTTTCTGTGGCCATTTGCTTTTGTACGGATGAGGGTGGATCCTGCGCAGGAAATATATTTTCTAGTTGTGGGTCCAGAAGAATTCTTTGTGAATGGTCCAGGCGGATGTTTAGTTACGCTGTTAGTTATCGACTGTTTCATAACCGATAGCTGCTACGACATAATAAAGTGGTGTGTATAGAGTGCCCTGAGCAGCAGTGCGTCGCTATTGAGGGTTCTGTGTTTGATGCCGCCAGCTTGAAGAGACGAACAAAACGCTGACCAAAGACGTGGAAAACCTCTCCAAGGAGAAGACCGAGCTCAGTGAGAAGATGCGGGTCCAAGAAGAAGGTAACCTCTCCGAAGTGCACTTTCAAGGGGGGTTAAATGTTTCTTTGATGGAAAATCTAGATCTAGTTTATTTGATCTCTTGGTTTTGTGCTGGTGCTCATTGAGAGTGTTTTGCGTTTCTGGCCTCCAGGACGCTGCTCAGCTTAATTCTACTTTTTGTTTGCCCATGATCAACACTAACTCTAGTTGGAGGTCCGTCTCCAGTCATGATGTGCAGTGTCACAAGCGACAGACAAAAAGAGACTCACCTCCCTGCTTCTTTGATTCCTCAGTGTCTGCTACCGAAAAGGAAGAGCTGACGAACTCGGTCAAAGCTTACTACGAGAAGATCCTGAACACGGAGCGCACTCTGAAGACGCAGGTGGGTTGTGTCAGGCTGTGTGCTCCTCTGGGGGGGGAGTGTGGACCGTCGGAGCCTCGGACCGCTGCTTCCGGCCTGCGCCAGCCTTCATCGCGCCAGACTTCAGCAGTCCCGGTCTTGACTTCTTCTTGGGGGATTGAACCCTCAAGAGGGGGGCTCCTGGTGGGGATGGGGCACTGGGGGGTTTTTGTGCGAGGAAAATGTTTTATCCTTTTCTTTTAATAATGGTTCCCAAAAAAGGAGAAGCCTGGGGCTGTGCTTGGACACAGGAACCATGACAGCTGGGAGGCTGTGGTGGACTGTTTGGTTCATAGCAGCCATTTTTAAAACTCATGGCCACGACCTCCAGGTCATTTCCAGGGCATTGGGATGAGCAGAGGTCTGAAGTCGGTCTTAAGGGAGCTTTCTTGTTGTCCAAACTCTCTCTCACCCTGGGTTTTCTGAGTGAATGTTCTGGTAAAGCAGTGCAACACTGGCTCATCCCCTGAGGGCTGAGAATTGAAGTGTTGTCTTTTCCTCTCCTTCAAACCTCGAGGCCTCTCCTGAGGTGCTCTTCAACGGTTAACCTTTAACCTGCTGGCCCGCTTCTTGGTCTGCTCCCGCAGGCGGTCAACAAGCTGGCCGAGATCATGAACCGCAAGGACATGAAGCTGGACCAGAAGAAGAAGGGCAGCACCGCGGACCTGAGGAAGAAAGAGAAGGAGAACAGGAAGCTGCAGCTGGAGCTGAACCAGGAGAAGGAGAAGTTCAACCACATGGCCATCAAGTACCAGAAGGAGCTGAGCGAGATGCAGGCAGTACGTTGCACCCATTCGCCTGTGGAAGCTGATGCACTGGAATTGAAATTTTCATTG